GGGTTGGCGATGTTAGTGTTGAAAGATGACAACGATTAAAATTAGCATAATTACGTTGTTCTGTGCCAAAAAATGTGGGTTTTTTTTTCTTTGATGGTAAATTGCAATTAGTGTTGGTGCAAGTGTTGAAAAACTGCTAGTAAAAAAAAACGGTTGGTGAATATTTTTTCGAGTAACTTGCTGGTAGCCTACCGACACCTTTGTGAAATTACCAATTTTTCTTATAGTTTGCAAATTACCAATTTGAAAAAGCACCAGCACCGACTTTTATTTGCATAACTTACCATCACTTTGAATTTACTCTCTTAAATGAAATTATCAGCCTAAATTAAAGTGACTTGCCAACTTTTATCTTCTAAAATTACCAACTAAATAGGTTACCATCTCTCGCTTGAGTTATTTACCCTAGTTAAATTCTTTTTACTAACTTTTCAATTGATTTATCGACTTTTATTTGCCTTGGTTAGCAACTCCTTAGATATAGTAACTTTTTTCATAGATAACGAACCCAAATTAGCATAATTTACCAACTTTTTTCCTTTAAATTGGCATATAGTATTAGGCTACCGATGGTCATTTGAGTTATTTACTGATTTTTTTATTTTTTTTATTTGCCACATTTCCTTATCATTTACAAACTTTTGGTTGCATTTCTTAGCAACGCCTTAAATTTACATACTCTTGCTAGAAATTACTAACCTTAACTAGAACAACTTACCAACTTTTTGATTAGTCACTCAAATAAAAGTTGGTAATTTCACAAAATAATTAGAAAATATAAGGTATTGGTAAAAATAAAGAAATAAAAGCTCGTACCATATGAGATAAATATTTTTTGTTAGAGATAAGAGAAGTTGGTAATATAAAAAAAAGTATCAGTAACTAACTCAAACAAGAGTTGATAACACAAAGCTAGCACTTAACATAACCAGAGAAAATGTCATAATCACTCAAAATAAGGTTAGTAAGTTCTTAGAATTGGTAAGTAAGACAAATAAAGTTGGCAAATCTTAAGAGTTGGTAAACTAATGAGAGAAAAGCTGGTAAGCCAGATAAAAAAAAGTTTGGTAAATTCATATAAGGATTTATAACTTATGGGGTTTGTAAGAAAGACTTGGTAATTGATAACAAGAGTGACAAAACACAAAAGCCAAATAAACATATATAAAGGGAAAATAATACCACAAGTATTATAACTTTCGTACGGCGCTCATTTGAGCGTCATATTTTTTCAATTGAACACTTGAGTGCTAGTAGTGTGAATGATTCGGTTCGGTTCGGTTTTCAAGAAAACCGAACCGAACCGAACCATTAAGGGTGCCCCTTGAACCGAACGAATTTGAACCGAACCGAATTGGAACCGAACCGAAAAATCGATTTGGTTCGGTTTGGTTCGAATCGCTTGGTTTCAAGTTCATTAAGAAGAGAGAGAGAGGAGAGAGAAGAGAGAAGGGGAGAGAGAGAGGGCAAAATAGCCCTAAACCGAAGTGTTTATTTTAGTTCGGTTTGATCCAAACCGATCCGAACCGAACCGAAAAGAAAAATTGATTTATTTTGATGATCCGAACCGAACCGAAACCGAATCGAAATGCACGAAATTTTCGGTTCGGTTCGGTTCGGTTCGGTTCAGATCTCGGTTCGGTTTTTCGGTTCGGTTCGACACCTCTACTAGTGGTGAACGATTTTTAATAGTAAAGGCATTCAAGTGATCGATTGAAAAGTTATAGAAGTCAAGTGAGTACCGTACAATAGTTATGGCACTTGTGGTATCCTTATCCCCATTCAATGGATCACTTGAGTGCTTGTGGTAAATGATTTTTAATAGCCAGGGCACTCAAGTGGTTTATTGAAAAGTTACAGTACTCAAGTAAGTACCGTAAGAAAGTTATGGCACTTGTGGTATTCTTTTCCCCGTTTATAAATTACTCCAATGAAAATTGGCAACCCAAAAAGAGTTAGTAAGTTAATAGAAAAATAATTGGTAAGTCATTGAAATAAAGATTGGTAAGTTCATGTAAGAGTTGGTATTTAAGGGTTGGTAAAATAAACAAACAAAAATTTGGTAATTTGCAAATTGAAGATTGGTAATTTTGTGAAAGTGTTGGTAATTTACTTACGTGAGATACCTCAAAATCAGGGGACAGTAATATTTTTATGCACAAATTTTTACACTTGTTCCCATTTCAAAAATTTACCAATATGGAAAAAAGTAGAATCATTTCCGAAGTTAGAATCTATGACGGCGGCAGCGGCAACAAAGTGCATTTGTGCTAACATTTGATAAGGCTCTAAAGCGAAGCTATGTTTAGCCTTTGTGAACATGTTCCTGCATGAATGCATATAAAACACCAGAAAGCCATTCTATAGTGGTAGGAACTAATAAGAGAAACTATAGAAATCCATGTGATTATAAGCAAAGATGGTGTTATGCACCAAAATGATGACCCAAATGCAAACTAGTGTTCCTGACCAGACAATACTAAAGGATCAGATTGCCAAGTGATGCTTCGAAACCTGACAAAAGCAATAATAAAGCATCCAAAAGCAGCACAAAAAAAAGTTGATCTGTGAGCAACTTTCTCTCTTCATATCTGAAGGTTAATTTCCTTACTAGCTAAAAAGCTGATTGTGTTGTCTGCTATATAAATGATGCTTGTTGCTGTGGCTTAGCTTTGAAGAAACTCGCAACATGCATTATCTTACCTAAGAAAAGAGGAACGCGTGAGAAAGCTTTCCATCACTTTGTATGTTGTTTTCTTTTCTTTTCCAGTATATGGTAAGAAAAGCATTTAAAGACTCAAGATACAGTGTTTTATACTGGACTCGTCTTATACCCAACCTCTGCAATGAGTCGGGTAATCTCTAGAAGGAAAACCCGTTTATCAAAGGAATAAATACAGTTACTTAGAATGGACATATACGTCGCTGTTTGAAGTTTTCTAGTCCACAGAATTTAGATTGTCCTTTGGACCCACAAAAAGTGCAGAGACATGATCAATTTGGAAGTTAATTCCTTGTTCTAGAATCAGACACCTCCAGCAACAAGCATAACTTTTGAAGGGCATGTTTTTTCCTGGGTAAAAATCCTAGGACACTATGGCTACTATGGCTACTCATATGTAATAAGTCATAGCTTATACTTTTCGACTGTCGAAATGGAAATCGATCTTGTGCATCAAGCTTTGTCTTTCAAAATGTCATAATAACCAGAGGCAAGAATCGATAGTCGGTCGTCGGACACGAGAGATATGTGGGTTCAAGTTACAGAGGTTTAGCGTTTATTTTGCTACCGACATTAGGTTTAGAGTACACTGAAGATGGTTCTTAGTAAATCCTGGGGTGATATCTTGGGGAAATTTAACAACAACAGAGAGACATGATAAGACACATCCCAAACTTGAGGGGCATAGTGTCGCCAACCCTCATCATTAAGTTCAAAATAGTGATAATTGCTTGATGGTAACAAAAGATAAGAAGCAATGTCGTCTATAGTCATTCCTCATGAAAGTATAATATGACTCCGTGGCAAACATTGATATATGAATGAGGAACACGACTTTAGTTCTTCACAGAATGAACACCATAATGGCTATGTGGCAATATTTAAACCAAAAAAGTAGCAGAAAGTGCCAAATGCGTGGCATTATTCAGCTAAAAGTTAACATGAGTACTCTAAGGCCATGCCATTTTTGACAAGAGGGATGCTGACTGGTGGTGATCATAACAAGAGCAATGCATGACAATTTCTCTTTTAGAAAAGAAAATGTTGGGCATCAAAAGCCAAAAGACAATCAAAGCATACCTGACTGAATGCAGATCACAGAAAAAACTGCTTGATAATTAATTTTGTCAATCATTCATGGAACTAGACAAAGGATCCAAAAGAACTAGAAAGGAATCGAGGGTACTGATTTTGTCTCTACTTATTTTAAATTAAATTGCCTTAACAGAAGCATATAGTATCTCTTTATAATACTAGTTGCTAGCTTAGCTTTGAAGAAAGTTGGAACATGATTTAGCTAAGAGAAGTCATGTGTGTGCTGAAGAAGCTAAATGAGGCTCCTTTCTTTTCTTTTTCTTTGATGGTTAAGGGTAGGGAAACTATTGAAGGATTCTCAATAGATATCTTAAAATGTAGAAATTTTGCTTGATTGATGTAGTATTTTATCCATCAAATTAAGAGAACCTAATGGAATGCGGTGCCTCTTCAAATTAAAAATTAGAGGAAAAAAAATGGAGAACTACACATTTCCATCAACGTTAAGCTTAGCTTTTTCCCCAAGATGGAGGACTATTTGAGTGATTGACTAAACACCCTAGTGTTCTAGAGCTACTCAAGAACAGTATAATTTTGTAGGATTTAATGGAAATCAATGTGATATCCATGTTGCTTACCTTTCAAGCTTCATATTCGGAAAACCTTGAAATAAAGAAGAGATCTTGATAATTTTGTAGCTGCTTTAATAGCTCATTTTTGGGAATTTTCCTTTTGAGGATGACAGAAACATAGTACGTACAGCTGCCTAACTTTAAGGGCCATCTCTTAAATTGATAAGGTATGGAAACCGTCATGTCTATGCGCATCATAATCACGAATATTACGAGTTATCTTCTCATATTACAACTAAAACAACATGGCATTAAAACTACCCCTCCTTTGTGGCTTTGGACATGAATCCACCACATTTACAGATGATATGTTATCACTGATTATTGCAAACCACGTTAGTTTGTTAATAGGTGTTTGATGCTCACTGAGTATCTTTTATCAAGTGGAAAGAACAATCTTGAAAATGTTGAAAGTTGTCAACCACTAACAATCTCAATTTAGAAACTCAATCTCCAATCACGAAGTACTATCATTGTTTGCTTTATTTGAATTCTCTATTGCACATGTTCAATGTTTTTGGTTGCTTTCTACATCCTTTTAATAAACTGTTGAGCATAGAAAGCAAAGCGTATCTGGACAATCTCAAAGGATCCACAGATGTTCTTAGTGAACCTTATAGATTTGTAAAAGATAAAAGAAACAATGCACATCTCCTTTCTTTGACAACTAATGAGGGGAAAAAATATTTCATTGTCTTGTGCAGAAGTCAATCTACCTTTCATTACACAAGTTCTTCGTAGATGAAACTTCAAATAAGTTGGCCTCCGTTTCCTCGTTCCACCTTTCAAACACTTTCTTAGATCCCCCTCGCGCTGAACTCCCATAAATGCAGGTAAATAGCATTGGAATTCAGTATCCCCACCACGATATTCTTTCTCATGATGTGATCAGGATCAAAGCGAGAGTCTAAGCTCCAAATCTACTTCTTGGTTGTCGTTAGATTCGGAGTTATGGCTGCTCGAGCCTATCGAGCTGCTTCTGTGCTTCTTGTTCTTATTCTCTTGGGAATCCTGCAATTGAAATCCTTTATGAATCAAAGGAGGAGAGTATAGAGCAATAACATGCGCCCTTTTATGAACGAGTGATGAAACAATGGTATAACTATTTAGGATATGTTCACACAAAGAACTTAGGGGAAAAGTAAACACCTCAACATGCAGATTAAGGAGGTGTCTGGTCATATTTGGTTGTTGCCCATATTGCGGGATCTCCAACATGCCACTGCCAGCGTTCCAACTGGGTGATCATAAGGACAAAAACATACAGCATTGCATTTAGGTACTAGAAATTTGACCATAAGTACACACAATAATTTAGCCTTTAGAAAATTGCTCGACTTGGCAAAGCCAGTTTTGTACCTTGCGGCATTAGTAGGCTGGGAATCATCATATCTGACGTTTGCTCTCTCATAATCGCTCAAACCCATCTGCACCAAAATCACATTCGAACAAAATTTTAGGGACCCACAACAAGAGACCTAGCTAGCAAGCAATAGACTCTTATAGGATTTTTCAAGCACTGTTACACTCTCTCTTCTTGGCACATTATATTTTTGGATTGGGAAGACTAGATATTAATAAATAAATAAATGTCTGGAGAATTCCCAGAGGAAGAAAAAAGGAGGAAATCGCAGTAGGAACTCGAAGATTGGCCTTAGAAAGTATATATATCTAGGGTTTCTGGGTTATGTGCCCAAACATACATAAGAATCACTAACAGGAAATTGTAAAGAGGCGGACTCAAGCAAGAAGATTTGCTTAAATGGAAAATCTTTGAGTGAGCATTAGCATGCACATTTGTGGCGACTCACTGAGCACAGATCATGGCACTTCGATATACATTAGTTCTTGATTTTTGAAATCTAATAAAAAATGCATGGGAAGTGATTGGCACTGCGTATAACCTACCATCAAGTGGGGGTTGAATCCATAAGAGGCTGAGGGAGAGGAAGATGAAGAATAAGAGAAGGATGACGATGGTACTGATGAATAAGCATTTTGCATTCTCAAATCCTCCTGCATTTGCAAAATACACCAGAACATGAAAAACCCCTAAACCAAAATCCTCCATTTTTCCGCTAGAGAGAGAGAGAGAGAGAGAGACATACTTGAGTGAAGGCGGAGGGTTGATGAGGATGAGGATGGTGATAAGGGTTGGGGAGTGAATTATTGGGAAGGAAGCTGGGACAACCCAACTGGCCATGCAATCTGATCTTCTCCAACTGAGCAACCCCGAGCCCCCTCTGCGGCTGCTTCGGCTTGTCCGAGTTGCTCTTCTTGCTCTTCCTCGACGAGTTCGATGACGACGAAGACGAGCCTCTCATGTTCGGATCTCCAAAGAAACTGCTCCCCATCTTCTTCTTCCTTCTCTATATCTCTTCCTCTCTCTCCCCCCCTCTTTTCCCTACTGAGATCAAACAGAGCAAGAACGGACTTCTTCTTCTCCTCCTCCCCCTCCTTCCTGAAGATCTCCCCCACCCCCAGCAAAAGAAATGAAGGAAAAAGAAAAATGTGGAGCTGATCGATGATGGTGATCAAGTGAGAGATCACAGAGATCTCTTTGGCCTCTTTTTAAGCTGGTTTTTTCCCTGCCAACACCTCCCCACTAATTATTGCATCGCTGGATCGGATTTCCTATAGATTTCCATGTTTTATATGCTCTAGATTTTATGCCCCCCCTTTCCTCTCCTATTTGCAAACTCCCATAACATATTCATCATTTTAATATTCTTTTCTTTGACAAGTTTTCCCCCTTATTATATTCGAAATTATTTACTCCCCCTTCTCCTTTTTTCAAGGGCTCCCCAAGAAGGACTTCGCGGACTACGACTTTGAAAGCGATTGTCTCCGATTCAAGCGTTAAAAAAATCGAATAAGATAAGGGTTTTTCCAAGCCAAGTAGCCCCCACACGTAATTAGGGTTTTATTTTATTACTTATGTTACGTTCAACACACCATTTTTTTAGCCAAGTGCTCCATGAACGAGCTCAATATAATAATGCACTTGCCTATGTGCGCTCCTTTCGCTCATCAGTTTCACCCCTCCTTCTTTTTCAAGGTACGACTTGCATGTCACGCTCACGGAATAAGGCAAAAAGATAATAATAATAATAACAATAAAGTTTATTAAATCAAGATTTCACATTCATTACCATTCATTGCCATAATTTTGTTTGGTTTATAAGGTAAGAAACGGTACGAATACGTAATGTATAGGTATGAGATCTGATACAACAACTTGATTAGATCCCCCCATCCTTCGTTTGTTCGTCCACGGGATTTTGATGCCTAATGCTATTAAAATTCAATCTTGCGATGATATTTCCCACAAATGAAGATGAGAATACCAAACTCAGGTTATCGGTATTTTGGCCTGATTTTTCCGCTATAATTTTTGGAATTTTCATCGCGACGTTACAAGTTTTCTTGTCAGACGACGTGGTCCCGCTAATCATCTGTTGCAATTTTCGTTTTCTGAATTTTTATTAATTTTCCCGTCCCACATGAATCCATAACCCTATCATTTAATAATATCATAACGAAACCCTAGCTGTAATGTGGAGACAAAGCGATATTTTAAGCGATAATGTTGGACCCAAATCGCCATTAATTTTATAGATTCTAGAAATCCTGCTTGCCCATTTCTCAGCGATTGACTTCCCAAATGACGATGGAGGAAATTCCGATTGCGAATATTAATGCGTTCGATACATCACGCTGCTCGAGGATTTTTCGATTGACATGTAAAAGACATATGTGCACATAAAGAAAAAAAAATGGGAAAATAATAATTCTATAATTTGGATTTTTGCAATAAAATAATAATAATTTGGTGGCACATTAATTTGACCCAAGGATGTCGATTGAGGAGCGAATTAATGCCAAGAACCAAATCTAATCGAGCTGTTCGACGCATGATTCGTGGGGTCATATGATATGAGTTGTTTTTGTGGTGGAAAGCGGGAATCCTACAGTATTTTTTCTTAATCGGACACGTGAACTCGTGCAATTACGCAAATCACCTCCGCGATGTTGCTTGTTGGAGCACAAGAATCGAATTGTGCAATTAAGGAGGAAAAAAAATTGGCAAAAGAAAGGATATCGATTGTTTATTTGAAAGAGCTGTCATTTTATATTTAGTTCCGTTAAACTTGTTTAAGGGTTCGAGTAGGGATGATTAGTTACAAAGTGAGTAAGGCTGCGAATGACAACCATTCTATTTCAAAAATCAATTTCTAGCCAGAAATTTCTATTTCTGTTTCTGGAAGAGTTTCTGAGCAAAAAAACACGCGTAATAACAACATAAAATTTCTGTTCCCGAAACAAAAATTTATTTGATAACCGCACAAAATTTCTCCCTCTCGAGTGGCCGGCGAGTGAACGGCGGGCAAATGGCGGCAGCGGCGGAGAACGGCGGGCGACGGACGGTGGCAACGAATGGCGAGCAACGGACGACGGGGGGAGGCGACGACGGACAGTGACGCGGCCAGTGCGAAAGACGGCGGCTAGAGGCAGCCGGCGTCGGAAGGTGGGCGGTGAGAGGGGGGCAGCGGCGAGAAGAGGGCGGACGGTGGTAGTGAATGACGAGTAGCGGACGGTGGGGGAGGCAACGTCGGACTGCGACGCGGCTAGTGCAGAGGACCGCGGCTGAAGGCGGTCAGCGTCAGGCAGCAGCAGGAGGCGGTCAGCGTCAGGCAGTAGCAGGAGGCGGGCGACGGTCGGCGGCGGGAGGAGGGCAACAGCGAGAGGCGGGCGAGCGGCAGTAGGAGATGATGGCCGGCGGACGGCGGGCGGCAGCAGCCGGCAAGCAAGGGGGCGATGATGGGCGGTGGATGGGCGACCGGCTAGTAGCGAGGGCGAGCAATGAAAAGAATTTTTATTTCTCATTTTTATTCCAGAAATAGAAAAGTAGAAAATTTTTACTTCTCATTTCTGTTACAAACCTATTTCTGAAATCACAATTCGTTCTAGAAAATTGAAAAATGAAATTGTGTTACCAAACGGATTTTTATTCCAAACTTGTTTTTGGAACAGAAAAATAGAAACAGAATGGTTATCATTCGCAGCCTAAGTTAGAACCTACTGTCATAGACCGGATTCTCCCGTACTCTCGTACCCTTGTAATTGGAATTTTGTGGCGTCGGGGTAAAGAATGAGTCATGTAGAGGGAATTATACAACTCATTCGTAGGAGTGGTATCAGGGCATTTGTGCTAGGACTTCTAGGATAGAATAGTCATATCTCTAAAGAGCTCTGAAGACGGAGTTGACCTTTCGTGCACAAGCTAGTCGAGAACTGATGCCGCTTTCCTGATGAGGCCGTAATAGGCCGAAACTAGTTGTTGTGCCAAAGTGTTCCGTGTATCTTGATCGATAGACTGGACGCCCGAGCTAAGTTGGGCATGGTTCGATCCGATACGAGAATGTGATTCGTCGTACCATTCTTCAGAACAACTACAGAAGGAAGGCTGGCTTGGTATTCTCGGCTCACCAAGAATTTATCGGCTCGTGACACTACCCTGTTAGAATCAGTTCTTAATTTTTGAAAACTAGAACCTATCATATTTGTCTGGTTTGGTTCTAGGGTCTACCACGAATTGATTTCTTTTTTTTCTTATTGCTTCATTTTAAAAGGAAAATCAAGACAAATAGCAATTATGGCAAAACAATATGAGTAACAAAACGGCTCAAAGTAAAACGTCGACAGAACTGTGACGCAATAGGAATGTTAAGCTCATTTAAGAATAACAAATAATCTTCTTCCAATTTCAAAAGACAGGTTCTAACCGGTTTCGAGTGGGTGGATAGTTTCAACACCCAAAACCTAAAATCTACCGATTCCAGTGGGAACCGGACATATTTCCACTGGTACTAGGAATCGGATCTATTTCTATGGGCAGTCGAGCCCGGTTCTAGAATAGAATCGAATCAATTGCATAGCCCTAGGTTCAGGATCGCCCCATTAATTCGGATTAAAAAGTGCCTCGAGATATAGTGCCACTTTTTGTTTCATTAATTTTCGAACAATAGCGAGGTGAACATGGAGAATTTGAGTTCTTCTTTCTCTCTTTTTAACGTGCGTGGATTGATTTTTACTCTACAGGTTTTTGCATAATTTAAACTTTGCGGTGATTTTTCAAATTTTTTTTTAATCTCAAACTTGAAATTTATGTAAATGTTTTTTTTTTTTGGACATATATGTATGTAAACGTTGACACGCAAATATATGTCATGTCATTTTGGAAAATTTTTATACTATATTCAACTTTGGTACGAAATGGAAATTAGTTTTTTTCTTTCTTTTTCTTAATTGAGAACAGGGAAGTTCAATCCCACCTTTGAAACTCCTTGACAGAATTCTATTTTGATGATCATAATATTTATTCTTCTTCACAGATTTATCAGCAGCTATCTTCTGAAATGCAATGCCTTCTTTTGTTTATGCCGTACACCTAATCCACACACAAGTAAGTTTTTTAACCATTAACTCCAAGACAATAATCTTTTGATAAATCCAAACCGCGTTGAAATCTTTGCAATCTAACTGTATATAACATCAAATCAAATCAGTTAGCATTCTGGCCACTAGCCCAAAAGTCCCATTGGAATCTATAGCCTCTTGTTTGGGCATATTCTTTAGCCACTAGGCGTGCATTGCATCTTCCAATACTTCCATCACTGTTAAACTCCGTCTATAAGACGTATTTATATCTATGGGAAAAATTATCTAATCGATCATAAACTTATTGTACAAATGACAATTCAGTTCTAAACTTTTCAATTTTGTCAATTTAACATTTTCGTGAAATTACAGCCAAATTTCACTAGAAATCACTGAAGCCGACGATGACTAAACCGTCGCGTTAGCAATTTCCAGCGAAAAATGACAGAATGGATAACATTAGAATTTCACGCAAAAGTTTAGGACTAAATTGAAAAAATTATAAAATTTATGACTGAATTGACATTTATATAATAGGTTTAGGACTGATTGGGTAATTTTCCCTACATCTATTTGGATGTACATTTTGAGGCCTAAAAACGGGTGGTCCGAGCATCGTATCGATTCTAATGCCTTAATTTCATTGCACATGCCACTCTGCGATCAACTTCAATGTCCTTAGCTTTTGCTAATTGCCCATAGTTATGATCCCAAAATGTAGTGATTGTGGGACTCTGGAGAACACATTATGATCCAGTTCTTCCATATGAATTTGAAAAAGAAAAATATTATTATGGAATTGTACATGTGTAGGGAATTGTACTCTCTTGGTTTTCAAATTATCCACTTTATAACATTTATATCCTTGAAGATATCCAAGAAACACACATCCTCTTGGAATTTAGTTTTATGTGGTCTGTTATTTACAATATAATATAAACATCCAAATACTCTAAAATATTTTTAATTCGGCTTTTTGTTGTGTAGCCTTTTCATATGGTGATTTACCATCCAAAAATGGACTTGGATATCATTTACCAAACACACGGCAGTTAATAAGATTAGTTTGGTCTTTTTGCCTAGTATTAAGTGTTAACATATTTAATTGGGGAGACAAATGGGCCTGGAAAGATTTAAACTCAAAACT